GTTTAGGACTTGACATGCCGGCTACAAATTTGCAAATAAATAAGCATTTAAGCATTTACTGTCTGTTTCCCATCTCTATTTGTGTGTGCGGGGTGTCTGCTTCTCTATATCTGAATGTAAGCAGATGCAGAGCTATATATGTATTATATAGTGTGCCTCTATGCAGCTAGATGTATATTTAAATATACATATACTCTCTTACTCATATGCATATTATATACTCACCTCATAGATATCTTCGTACTTGACATTTTCAACCAGTTTCCAGAGCATGATGGCAGGCTGTTCTCTAGGAGGTGAGTGCATTCATGTGAAGAGCAGATGTCTGGATTCTCAGTACTTCTCTGTCTGTAATGATCCATCTATAATTGGAAATGGGGGACAGACACCAAATCCGACGTTCCTCTTCCATCGCAACTTATATCTGTTGTCTGAAACAATAGGCTGCAGAAGTAAACCTCCATCGGATAGTAAAAACATTATCTGTTACATAGTTACATATATCTACAGACATATATGTGACTATATCTCTGCTTATACACACATATAGAGACCTCTGTGCAGGCAGATAAAGACATAAATGCAGTTTCACACACATACACAGGCACACGTACACACTTATATCTCCAAACATATAACTTTTCCCATGTGCAGACATACATAAAGTGACCCATTCAAGTATGTAAATTATATATATTCTCGCTTATGAATGGATTTGCATAGGCACATGTATAGTACACGTTACATATGCATATAGGGGTGCAAACCTGATCCATTTATACTGGACTATATAGAAAAGCATATGTATGTATTCCTTTATACACCTACCCTTATATACATGGACATACAGTGATCAAAGATGAATATTATGTAGTGCATTTACCCACTATTTTTATAGAGGGCAGGATGGACAGATAGATACACGGATACATAGATAGGTAGGTAGGTAGGTAGATAGATAGATAGATAGATAGATAGATAGATAGACAGACAGATGGATAGATAGATTAATGGATAGATAGAAAGATGGACAGACAGACAGGCAGACAGACAGACGGATAGATAGATAGAAAGATAGACAGACAGACAGACAGATAGATAGATAGATAGATAGATAGATAGATAGATAGATAGATAGATGGATGGATGGATATACAGATAGATAGACACATAGAATGGAGAAAATAACGCACATTTTTTCAACCCTCTTTAAACTAAAGTAAAGGACAGGCTGTCTCTGCACCAGGCGGTTCATCATTTGCAATGAGATATTACTCTTTCCCCCGCATGCAAGATGCTTTTATTTACATGTCCAGAAATCATCCTCTCCTATGCAGTAAAGCACCAAAGCGGCGTCTCCCCACCACATCCGAGCCAAACTAAGAGGAAGACATTTAAATCAATGGTTTTCCATTGAAAGCCTTTTACTTCGGACTCGGGCTGTCTATTTTAGAACTTGGAAACACTTTCCCTGCGAAAAAAAAGCGGAGAAGAAATAGAGTTTCGCAAGCCCTCCTCTGCACGCATTTCAATAGCGATTAACTACTTTCTGCTGAACGGTTAAAGCAGAGTTGGGATCTGTGCGGTTCCATGGCAGCCCTCGTTTTGGAAGGGGAGAGGAGGAGTTGGACCATTTGTAACCTTTATTTCTTTTCTTTTCTTTCTTCTTCTTTTTTTTTTTTTTTTTCCTTTTTCTTCCCCCCCCTCCCCCCCCCCAGGCAAACCTTCGCTCGCATTGTCCTTTTTTTTAACACGTCGTACCGCACAGAGGCGACTTATTCTGCAGGCGAGCAGAGCCCATCTCTGCCTAGGAAAGGGAACAATTGGGCTTTGCGGTGGGCTAGTGCATCAGGAGGAGGGGGAGAGAGGGGTGAATCAGCATGAGAGACACATGCGAAGACGGAGAGAAAGGTGTTTCTAAATTCAAGGTCCCGATTCCTACCAATCTTCGTTATTCTGCACGGGATCCTATGGGGGAAGTGCAGTGTCCTTTGCACTTTCAGAGGTCCTACAAGTAAAGAATGCTTTTATAGATGGGTAATCTCGAAAAAGAGGAGAACTTCATCAGGAGACACTTGTGGTGCCGTTTGGTTGGCTGATGGGAAGGGTGGGCTTGTCTCTTTGTGTTCCCTTTGGCTTCAAATCCAAGCAGGACGAATACGTTCACCCCTCTTTCCCCCACGCTTTGCAGCCCCCCTCACTGTTCCTAAGCTCACATCTTCCCCAAACTCAACCAGCAAAAGGCAGGAGACAAACAACAGCCAGATATTGCAGCAGGAGCTGGGCAGCGCTCTCGCCGAAAGTTATTAAAACAGATGCGAGTAGGTTTTCTTTCTTCCCCTTTTATTTTTTTTCCCCTCAGCACAGCTACTGCACAGAGGAGGAGGAGAAAAGAGCACATCCCTGAGTGGGTTGGACAGAGCAGCGCAGCCGAAGCAATAGTGCTAAAAAATGCTGGGAAGGAGAAGAGAGCTATGACATGTGGAGATCCCCACACAGCCACCCCACAGCGCTCTCTTTGCTCCTACAGACCCGAATGGCCCTCTTAGAAAAATATCAGGCTCATAAAGGGACAGTGTGCCATCACTTCTCTTAAAGTCTTTGGGTCATATCCTGCGAGGCTGGCACAGGGCAGAGGGAACGCGCTGCCTGACAGCGAATGCTTCACCATCTCGTGGCACCCTGAATTAAATATGCTCTCTGTGCTGGGGGAGGGGTGAAAGAAAAGAAGCTCAAAAGGATATGACGGCCTCTGCTTCTCTGCTAACAGAATTGTGGAGACTTGAAATCCTTATTTCCGTGTCCCACAGTCGTTACATTCACTTGTAGTTGTGAAACGTGGCTTACGTGTGTCCAGTGTTCATTAAGAATAATTCAAAGAAATGAGGGTTCTCATTTGAACTGTGTTCTCAAACACAGTTTTGGGGCTTGTTTTGCAGCCTTTTTTAATTTTTTTATGTTTTTATTTTTATTTCTATAGCATTGCATTTGTTTTAGCAGTTCCAGTTGGGAAGTGTTGTTCCCGAAGCTCTGCTTCACAAATGTGAGCCAGGCCTTCCAAAGTGACGCCCAAAAGCTGTTTAAGAAAAGGGATCGGAGGGAGGGGGAAAGAGAAACAAGCAAGAAAAGAGGAAAAGAGACATTTCTCGGTACATTTTGGGAAACACTGTAAGGAGTGGAAACCTTCACTTCTCCAGCACGGAGCGCGGAGCTCTGATCGATAAGGCGAATCTTCGAGCCGTCTAGTTCTGTATTTCACTTGATTCTGTCACTCTTTCTGCCATCCCTGCGAACAAAAGGCCGCCTTCAAGCCGAACCCCGCACGCGGTCCTGGTGCCCTCCCCGCTCCGGCTGCGGGCAGCGCGCACTGAGCCGCATTGCGCGGAGCTGCGGCGCCCTCTGATGGGCGCTCCCAGCCCGGGGCTGAGATTTCCAAACTGCCGAAGCCTTTTTTTTTTTTCGGCTGGGAACGTTGATGCTCATAGTGAAAAAAAATAAAATGAAATAAAATAAAATAAGACAAAAAAAAAATCCCTTTTGATTCCGCAAGTTATCCGTATTTCATTGCATATTTCATTCCAGTACTTCAAGGGAGGTTATAAACAGGAGGGGGACTTTTCACACGTTATGATAGCAATAGGACAAGGGGGGACGGCTTTGAACTAAAAGAGGAGAGATTTAGGTTAGATTTGAAGAGGAAATTCTTTACTCAGAGGGCAGTGATGCCCTGGCACTGCTGCCCAGAGCTGTGGCCTGCCATCTGTGGAGGTGCCCAAGGCCACGGATGGGCCCTGGGCAGCCTGAACTGCTGGGGAGCACTCAGACCACAGTAGGGGTTGGGGCTGGTAGGGCTTTAATATCTCCTTTGACCCAAACCATTCTGTGATTCTTTGATTCTAGTATATGATTTTTCCAGGATTTTTCCTTAGAAACTCTACCTGACCCTCCTCACAGCTCCTACCTCACAGCTTTCATCTTCATCAAGCTTTCAGCTTTCTAAAATCAGTGTGTGCCTTTATAACAGTATATGCCCCCTTTATGCAACCCCATAGAAAATCCCCATTATCCGTGGAGTTAGAAATAAATCAATTTATCTCAGCGCCCTCTGCTGCTGGTTGAGGGCTCTCCGGTTAAAAGCAGTTTCTGTCGTTTCTAACCGAAACTTCAGTCCTTTCAGTACCTGTTCTTGTAAAGTAGATTTTTTTTTCTTCATTTTTTTCCCCCCCTTTTCTCTTAATTTTCCATATACTCCCATATGTATTTCAGAATTCGGTATTTTTCATGAAACAATAACTTTGGAATCTTACTTCGGAAGCAAGAAAGATATATGACAGCAAATATCTCAACATGTCACTTAAAACTCAGTGCCTGCTCATTCATGGGTGCACCTTAACCCTTTTCTTCGTGAATAAGACTCATCTCTTAAATCAAGCTCAGCTTCCCATTATTTTTGCTGATGAATCACTTTTCCCCACGACATCTGCAGACGTAATAAGGACTTTCCTCCTTTCCTTCTGGCTTTCTAAAACCACAGTGCTGGATTGTCTTGGAGACATACCCCAACTCCTCTTTCTGCTGCCTGTTCCTTGACCTGGCAAGAGCAGCACACTGGGAAAATGCAGCCACGAGTGCTGAGCCCACTTGAATGGATACCAGCTATTTGCAGTGTTTAACAACCCTGTGGGTAAGAGATTGGGTTTTTTTCCCCATCAGTAGTGAGCTTCCTGGAATCACCTTTGCTATAAACTGTTCCCAATCCCAAGATCAGGAGGAAGATGTCACCGTGGGGCACCAGGATGTGCTTCCTGCCCCCCTGGGGCCGCCAGCTCCCCATCCCACTGCTCACAACCAGGGCAGAGAGAGTAATATATTTGGAGATGTGGTCAGTGTACAGGAGGACATTTCTGCTGCCTTTGCTTTGGGATTTCCCTCTGCCTTTCTTCTTTAGATATGGGATGAGGATGAGCTGCAAGGGATGAACAATAGCAAAAAGCATAACA